TTAGCCCTGCTGAAAATGGCAAGACAAAAGAATTGCAGAATCATTCTGGTAATTTCCAACTCTTTACTTTTCATCTTTCTTTAGGTTATCTAATCCTTTTCAGGTCCAAGGAGTTGTCTCAATCCAAGTCTTCAATGTTTCCCCTTCTCCAGGTCTATCTATCCCTGTGCCTCGTGGTCGCAAGGGGAAAAAAGTAAAGTCACAAAGCACTTTTGATATCCATAAGGCAGATTGGATCCGGAAATACAACCCTGATACTCTGTTCCAAGATGAAAGTTATAAGAAACACTTGAAACATCAGTGTAACAAGTAAGGATGGAATTTGACCAAGACTAAAGTGTTTTCCACGCAAACTTTCTACACTATTACTGAGCCAGCTCTTTCTCTCTCCTTTGTAGGGTGCTATTACGGGTACGAATGCTGTACTATCTGAGGCAGGAGGTGATTGGAGACCAGGCAGAGAAGGTGTTAGGGGGTGCCATTGCCAGGTAAAGTTCTTCTGCAGTTTTCTATTAGGTCTAGTAATAATTAATGTCGTTTTCTAACTCTTTTTTAAATCGAATTTATTTAAACAATACCACAAAATTTAATCAACAATATAGTTGCCGTTCTTTTCTACTACTTGTGCCCAACGCTCAGGAAGCATTTTAATCCCTCTGTTGTAAAATTCTTGTGATTTTGATGCAAAAAATTCAGTCAATGCATTTTTGAGGCATTCTTCATTATTAAATTTTTTTCCAAGAAGAAAGTTTTGCAAAGAACGAAACAAATGGTAATTGGAAGGGACAATATCAGGAGAATATGCAGGTTGAGGGAGAACTTCCCATTCCAACTGGCGCAGTTTTTCAGCAGTGATTCTTGCAGTATGCGGTCGTGCGTTATCGTGGTGAAGAATTACGCCCTTCCGATTAATCAGTGCGGGTTCTTTTTCTCTTAAAGCTTGGGCTAACCTTTCCAATTGGGCACTATACATTGCACTTGTAATGGTTTGGTTAGATGGTAAAAGTTCATAATGAAGAATTCCTTTAAAATTCCACCAAACACACATCATCACTTTTTTCGCATGCAAGTCAGGTTTTGGCGTGGGCTGCGGAGCCTCATTTTTGTCCAACCATTGAGGCCGCCTTTTCAAATTAACATACAGCACCCATTTTTCATCTCTGGTAACAATTTGCTCTAAAAACGGCAAATGGTTTTGACGAGAGAGGAGCGAACTGCAAATTGTGACTCTTTGATTACGGTTGTTGTCGGTCAAATCATGAGGAACCCATTTTCCAAACTTTTGGACTTTGCCAAGTGCACGCAATTGATTGGAAATTGTTTTTTGTGAACAATTTAAAGTTGTTGCAAGCTCTTGTTGGGTAATTTGAGGATTTTGCACCAAAATAGCTTGAAGAGCTTCTTGATCAAAATTGGACACACGGCCTCGACCACTCTTGTCATCTAACGAAAAATTTCCCTCGCGAAATTTCTCAAACCAACGCTGGCATTTTCTGGCGCTAACTGCATCTTGACCAAGAGCACTACAAGATGTTTTTTGCAGCCTCACTTGCTTTTCTTCCTAATTGGAACTCGTAAAGCATGCAGTGCCGAATATGCTCTTCATCCGCCATCTTCTTAGCCCTAGTTTTGCAACAAAAACCAAACCAAACACAAACTTTTTCAAGCAAAACTTGTTAATTGCACTTCACACGTTCTGTAGATACCACGTGTTTGAAGGTTATGTCAATACAAGTCAACGCCAAGCAAGATTTTAAATGAACGTTTAAAACGACATTAATTATTACTAGACCCGATACTTGCCATGCCTTATTGAAGAAAAGATTGTTTCATTTATTCATTTTATATTATATTTATACCAGATAATTCAAATCTATCTAGTAGGTCTTTAGTTCTGTATCTGATTGCTGCAGAAAGAAGTATACAGCTGCATGAGCATTTAAATTAATGGATAAAAGAAGATACTTGTAGTACTCTCTCCAAGGATTATTTTAATTTCCTGCATTGCTTTACTGACTGTGCTCTCTTATACCTTTTTTCCCCCAAAGGAAAATGTTTACTATAAAAATCCAAGATTCACATTATGATAAATGGTAAATTAAATATCCTCTTGATAAGAGTTCAACTTTTACATTTTTTTTTTTTCTTTTCTATTTAATCCTGCCGTCTTTTTTTCTAGTTCTCCCGCACCTTTTCCTATCTGTGGTTATATTAATAGATTCCCTCCTTCACAAGTTAGGATTATCATTACAAATTTTAATACACACTTTAATTTTACCAACATCTAGGTAATATTTGTAATCGTTCTTTACCTTCATTCCCAAGTATACTTTTAGTTGTCCATGTTCTTGGATAGAATTGTAGCATTTTATTTTTCAGTTTTCTGTTGATTTTTGGTGTTGTCCTCTTATACCTTTAGTGAGATTGACATATGGTTCCCAGTAGTGGATCAGCTGGAGGTTCCAACAACATGGTGGGACAGTGAGGCTGACAAGTCCCTGCTAATTGGTGTGTTTAAGCATGGTAGGTACCTTCTTTTAGTCTGTTCCTTTCCTGTTGTAGATTTATATCCACGGATAGACATTTAGCAAAATGCTCATGACTAATAATTAACTTCTGTGATTGATTTTCAGTAAACTTATGTTTGAATGGGAAACTAGTTCTTAAATATTCAGAGCTGAGCAGCTGTCTCTATAAATAGATGTTCAAGAAAGACCAGATGGATAGTTAAATCCCAATGCAGGGAGTCTTCCATCTGTTCTCTAATAATTGTTACCAGTCTGTGTGTTGTGGCGTCTAAGTTAAGGTTCCACAAATCAGGGAAGGTAATGTATGCTCACTATCGTTAAATGTACTTAATTTGTATGATTTCATTGTGGCTTGCTGAAAGTGTTCTATAACATCCCATTTTTCTAAATGTTCAGTCACCTGAACCTTTATTAAAATAGGATGTTATAGAAATAGAATACTTTCTATAGTAAACAATAGTGTTTGAGTGAAATAAAAATGGGGGTGGGGGTGAGAGAAAATACTTACTCTTCATTTTTACCTAATGACAAATCCCAGGCATTAAAAGCATTGAGTGCTAAATTCCAGCCCACTGACTTGGTGAATTGGAATATTATTTCTTTTTTTTTTATTTTCCTGCCTAGTTGGTTGGGCATCTCCCCGTGCACCCAAAGATAGTTGGTTTGATTCCCTGTCGGGGCACGTGCCCCGGTTGTGGGATTAGTCCCCACATGCAAGAGGCATGCAGAAGGCAGCTGAACAATGTTTCTCTTCTCTATCTCTCTCCCTTTCCCTCTAAAAATCCATTTTTAATAATTATTAAAAAACAACACAAAAACTTCTCTGTTTACTTTTATTTTATAAAAGTAATGCACTGTTCCACATGTTTTTGAGAAGTTTAATGGGATAAGAAAAAGTGTGAGCATTTTTCCTCTTAGGCTTACTTAGAAGAGTATAAACATCCTAAAGTGTGTTCACTCATTCATTTACCATTCATGAAAAGTTCAGTCTGTTTGCAGATACAAGTTTTTAATCCTTCATTTGAAAATGTGTGACTTTTCCCTAATTTTTTTACTTTTTTAGTTTCCCCATCTATGTAGTAAAAATAACAGGAAGACTACCAATTAAATGGCTGTGCCTAAAATAGATGTGCAAGAAAGACCAGATGGATAGTTAAATCCTTATGTAGGGAGTCTTCCATCTGTTCTCTAATAATTGTAACCAATTAACTTACATGTATAAAAATTGATTAAATTCCTATTTCAGTAACTAGTATTAAAGCTCTTTATAACTCTAAATTGCTATAGAAATATTGAATATGTCGATAGTAACACAGGAGGCCCAGTGCATGAATTCATGCACCAGTGGGGTCCCTTGGCCTGGCCTGTGGGATCGGGCTGAAATCAGTTCTCTGACATCCTCCCAGGCCTCCCAGATTGCGAGAGGGTGTAGGCTAGTCTAAGGGACTCTACTGGTGCACAATCAAGGTTGGGGAACCTGGGAGGTTGGCTAGCCAGGGAGGGACCAAAGGAGAGTTCCAGGGCGTGTCCATCCCATCTCACTCAGTCCCCAGCAGCGAGCTAACCTACTGGTTGGAGCATCTGCCTCTTGGTGATCAGTGCACATTATAGCGAATGGTTGACTGGTTGTCTGCCCCCTGGTGGTCAGTGCATGTCATAGCGAGCGGTTGAGTGACGTTAGCATGCTATGCTTTGATTGGTTGACTGGACACTTAGCATATTAGGCTTGTATTATATAGTGTAACCCAACAGTTGTCCAAGTTAACATTTAAACTATATTTTGCATTGTGAACAAAGGAGCCCATATAATATAAAAATAAGTTTATAAAATAAGCATAAAAATAAAATGAATCCATGATTTTCTTCAATTTATGGCCCTTTTTCTTCTAGGCTATGAAAAGTATAATACTATGAGGGCAGACCCAGCTTTATGTTTCTTGGAAAAGGCTGGTCGACCAGATGACAAAGCTATTGCAGCAGAACACCGAGTGTTGGATAATTTCTCTGACATAGTAGAAGGGTAAGCATTGGTATTTAATTCTCTTAAAGTTCTTTGGCAATCCTATAAAGGCTATTAGATAACTTGTGCTAAGAGATAACTTCAGCCTTGACTGAACACATTGGGATTCTTAATGGTGCTTATACTTATGAATGATAAAATCTTAACAAAAATTGAGACCAGCAGAAAAGACTCCATAAACTGGCTTAAAACAATGCATTGCCATAAGATACAACTAAGGGTGGAAATTAATGTTACTCCCAATTGGCTTATTTGATGTTCTGTTCCATTTTCTTTGCAATACTTTTCTGTATAACCACAGTTGCTGAAAGGATAACTGGGCTTCTTAAAAGATAATAGCTATGTAGCTCTTCCATACCACTTATGTGATAGAGCCTTAGGAAATTTTAGCTCTGATTTATCATCTCCTAGTGGTGGGTTGACATAAAGGCATTACTCTGCCTGGATACATGCCTCGATGATGAGTTGCCATGCTAATACTGAGCCACCAGGTGGGGGCAGTGTTGCCCTACTTGGGTGCCAGTGAGTTAAACAAAACTTCTCATGTGGAGACCTGAGAGGCATGTGAGAGAGTTGGCTTAGTTCATGATTGAGAGGTTTCTCTTTGATGATCGTAACCTCTGGTTGCTTAGTGAAAAACTCTGAGGAAATTGGGCCATTTATTCATTGCAATAATAAATTATTTATTTATTATGTCACTCTTCTGCTCAGTAGAGCAAAGTTGTAAAAATAAACAAGCATGGGTCATTTGAATGAAATAAAAATATATAGTTGAGAAGGAGGTGGGTAATGGGTTAAACAATAAACAGGGCTATCAAGAGACAACAAGTGTGCTTGTTGGTGTTTCATTTTAAATTAAAGCAATTTAGAGTGCACTTTGTCAATTTCTCCGTTTTTTATTCTTTTGAATGCTGTGCCTAACTTGCTCAGAGCTTAGCACTTGGCCTGCCTTTCCTCCCAGCATGAAAAAAAAAGACTATTCCATGCTGGATTGTATGTTTGGCCTTCATCCTAGGGTCCTCTTAGTGAAAAAAGAGGCTAATATTTTCTCATGCCTCTGTAATTTCAGGGTTGACTTTGATAAGGATTGTGAAGATCCTGAATATAAACCACTCCAGGGTCCCCCAAAGGACCAAGATGATGAGGTGAGAATTGTCATTTAAGTCTATTTTCTCTCTTACTAAATAGTAAAGTATTCTCCCATTCCTTGAATTCTGAAGTATGACTAATTTATAATACAAAATGAAAAGTAATTACCGTTTAAGAATATAAAGTATTATAGAAAGGATTATAACGCTTCTGGGGGAGATCAGGGATGACTTTGTGGAAGACCTAAACTGGACATTGGAAAATATTATTTTTAATAAGTTCCTGAGTCCTTTTATCTTCAAGCCATTAATAAGAACTGGACTTTTCAGGTTCTTCTTTCTTATTCACTTAGTTCCAATTTTTGTGAGGGTTCCTTTCATTAGAAAATATTCTTGATCCCTTGGTACTATAGATGGACACACTTGAGAAAGTGATTTCAGAGTATCAACTTCTTCCCCTTTCCCTCTTCCCTCCATCCTGTGGGGTGGATCTCCTTCTCTAGGGTGATCCTTTGATGATGATGGATGAGGAGATCTCAGTAATTGATGGAGAAGAAGGTAAATGTCTAGGTCACCTAGTACAATTTGTGTGGGATGGTGAGTTTGGGGAATTATCAACTGATTCTATCCTATCCTGGGATTTTTTAAGAGCTTTGCCTTTGGGTGGGTTGAATTACCGGTATTATCTGTACTGTCTTTCCTATACTTCTTTTTCATTCTACTTTGGTTTCCACAGCCCAGGTAACTCAACAGCCAGGCCATCTATTCTGGCCTCCAGGCTCTGCCCTGACAGCTAGGCTTCGGCGCCTAGTCACAGCCTATCAGCGTAGCTACAAGAGAGAGCAGATGAAGATAGAAGCTGCAGAACGTGGGGACCGGAGACGGCGACGTTGTGAGGCAGCCTTCAAGCTAAAAGAAATTGCACGGCGGGAAAAACAACAACGGTAAAATATGGCTGGGAATTCGGGCTACACTATAAGCTTGTCTTTACTGTAGGCCCTGTATTGAAAAGCATCTTAGGAAGAATTTATTTGAAATTCTCTAAAGAATAACCATCTTTTTAGCCCTTAATTGTTATATTTCTTTGACATAAACTTCACTTCCTGCATAATTATAACTCCCAGGAAGATCTTCTGTATAGACATTCTCATTATTTGCTCATGTCATGTTTCCCATAAATAATAATTCTTCACAAATTATTAAATTCCTACATGTTACAGAGTACCTCTTAACTACCTCTTCTGCTGTCTTCTGGGCCTTTATTTTCCCCCTAATTTAAACCCTTGTATATTCAGATTCTCTAAGCCACACTTAGAAATAACCACTTTCCCTATATTCTTCTGATCACTGTTGTCTGATTCCTCTTCCCTTTGTAGATGGACAAGGCGTGAGCAAACTGATTTTTATCGAGTAGTGTCTACCTTTGGTGTGGAGTATGACCCTGACACCATGCAATTCCATTGGGATCGCTTCCGCACTTTTGCTCGACTGGACAAAAAAACAGACGAAAGCCTTACCAAGTATTTCCATGGCTTTGTGGCCATGTGCCGCCAAGTGTGCCGTCTTCCCCCAGCAGCTGGAGATGGTAAGCAGAATGAGAGATTTTTGGATGAGTGTCGGGATGGATGGTGACAATCAACCGTGGCTCATTTCTCCTTCCACATTTATCTCTTGCAGAGCCTCCAGACCCTAATCTGTTTATTGAGCCCATCACTGAGGAGAGGGCCTCACGAACTCTCTACCGTATCGAATTGCTTCGGCGCTTACGGGAACAAGTTTTATGCCACCCCCTTTTAGAAGACCGGCTGGCATTATGTCAGCCTCCAGGTCCTGAATTGCCCAAATGGTGGGAGCCTGTTCGACATGATGGGGAGCTTCTACGAGGGGCAGCCCGTCATGGAGTAAGCCAAACAGATTGCAACATCATGCAGGACCCGGACTTCTCTTTTCTGGCTGCCCGAATGAATTATATGCAGAACCATCAAGCAGGAGCATCAGCTCCATCTCTGTCACGCTGCTCTACTCCACTGCTACACCAGCAGTATACCTCGCACACTGCCTCGCCATTGCCCCTGCGCCCAGATGCTCCTGTTGAAAAACCACCTGAGGAGACATCTGCCCAGGCCCCCAGTCTGGACAGTCTAACTTTAAAGCTAGAGCATGACATGGTAGCCCGGAGCCGACCAACCCCTCAAGTCTATGAGATGCGAGTCCCCTCCTCTGATACCACTTCTCTGGCTTCCCGGAGTGTCCTACCAGTCAAACTGGAAGATGAGGATGACTCAGATTCTGAGTTGGACTTGAGCAAGCTGTCACCATCATCCTCTTCTTCCTCATCCTCGTCCAGCTCCAGCTCCAGCACTGATGAGAGTGAGGACGAGAAGGAAGAGAAGCTAAGTGAGTGCATGTGACAGGCTGTTGACCTTCCCTGTTACCCCCACCTCTGCTCTTCCCTTTCTTTTCTAAATGCATCCTCTGAAAGAGATCCAGATTTTGATTTGATAGAATATCCAAAGAGATCTGTTATTCTCCAAGTCTTTATTTAAAAACCTATATAATACCATTCCTACATAACCTTCTTTCATCTTTGCTCACACATTCTGTATGATCTCTAGCTGCTGACAGGTCCCACTCAAAGCTCTATGATGAAGAAAGTCTCCTGTCCCTCACTATGTCCCAAGATGGATTCCCAAATGATGATGGAGAACAAATGACCCCTGAGCTGCTGCTGCTGCAAGAAAGACAAAGAGCCTCTGAGTGGCCCAAGGTAATAGCCTCATTCCTGGACACGTAGAGTCTAGAAATATAATGTAACACACAAGAAACAAGGAACAGATGGTTCTGATTTTCTTTGATTGTGTTTAGTGCTACATATTATTTTTTATAAAATTCCTCTCAGTTGACTTAGGATACTGATACTATTACCTCCCTCCTTTCTGCCTTTTGATTATACCCATCTTGATAATGATGCATTGTGATTATCACAAGATTTCATAGCTAATATTCAGGCCCTAAAACCAGTGTTGACTTCTTTTTCCCTACTCAGGATCGTGTCCTGATAAACCGTATTGACCTCGTCTGCCAGGCTGTACTCTCAGGGAAGTGGCCTTCTAGCCGCAGAAGTCAGGAAATGGTAACAGGAGGAATTTTGGGGTCAGGCAACCACTTGTTAGACAGTCCTTCATTGACTCCAGGAGAATATGGTGACTCTCCAGTCCCCACACCACGAAGTAGCAGTGCAGCTTCCATGGTAGAGGAGGACGTTTCCGCAGTCACCACAGCAGCAGCTCAGTTCACCAAACTTCGCCGAGGCATGGATGAGAAGGAGTTTACAGTTCAGATCAAAGATGTAGGTATTGGGAAATGGGGAAGGAGGTTACAGTTCTTACTAACTCCTTTCACTAAACTCATTTGGTTAGCTAACTTTAAAAATATAAAGAGGGGGGAAATTTGGGCTAGCCCAGCTGGTGTTGCCCAGTGGTTGAGCATTGATCCATGAACCAACACATCTCCAATTCGACTCCTGGTCAGGGGACATGCTCAGGATTGCAAGCTGAATCCCCAGTAGGGTGTGTGCAGGAGGCAGCTGATCAGTGATTCTCTCGCATCATTGATATTTCTATCCCTCTCTCCTCCTTCCTCTCTGAAATCAAGAAAAGGCATATACATTTTGTTATATTTCTAATTTCTACCCTTGGGTGTAGTGGCCTTTTCACTGTCACTGAGTCAGAAGATGACTCTACCCCAAGTCCCCCAAAGCTTAATCCTTATTTTAAAAACATGTACCATATGAAATCTTGGGTTGGTGGGTTGTCTTATTAGGAGGAAGGATTGAAGCTAACATTCCAGAAGCACAAGTTGATGGCTAATGGAGTAATGGGAGATGGACATCCTCTATTTCATAAGAAGAAGGGGAACAGAAAGAAGCTAGTTGAGGTGAGTGGTAGAGAAAGTATTTAACAAGTTGGTAAGAGCTTTTTATTCTCAATAATGGTGAAGGCACTTGGGATTGAGGGACTAGCAGATGTTAGAGTTGTTTTATGGCTACCACTGGCTCTGCTCCCCCTCCCTTCCTGCCCCACAGAAGAGTTTTGTGCTCATGGGGGTGGATTCTGGGTTTGCAGCTGGAGGTGGAGTGCATGGAAGAGCCTAATCACCTTGATGTGGACCTGGAGACTCGGATCCCTGTCATCAATAAGGTGGATGGTACTTTGCTGGTGGGTGAGGATGCCCCTCGCCGGGCTGAACTGGAGATGTGGTTACAGGGTCATCCAGAGTTCGCTGTCGATCCCCGATTTCTAGCGGTGAGTGGCAGTTTCATCCAGCAAGATTTAAAATCATTCCCTTGATTTTTACGCTGTGTGAGACAGAGGAAGCATGCCATATTATGTCATTGTTTCTGCATCTTAAAAATAGGTATAGTACCTACCTACCTACCTTACAGAGTTGTAAGGATCAAAATAAAATAATGTTA